GGGGTTTAGGGTTCAGGGGTGTAAAGTGTACTTGCCGTTGCCGCCGATGGTTCACGTGGGAGCATCAGAGCTGCTAACGACCCTGGAGCCCGAGTTGCTCCGTGGAGTGCCACTACATGTCGCCTTGGCCGGGTGGGCTACCTGGACTTTTTTCAAGCAGCTCCTGGTTTGGGGCTTATAGAGTTTAGGGTTTAGGGTTTTTAGAGTTTAGGGTTCAGGGTTTTTGAGTTTAGGGTGTAGGGTTTATAGAGTTTAGGGTTTAGGGCTTATAGAGTTTATAGGGTTTAGGGTTTATAGAGTCTAGCGATTAGGGTTGTTGAGTTTAGGGCTTAGGGTTTTTTCGAGTTTAGGGTTTAGGGTTTATAGAGTTTAGGGTTTAGGGCTTATAGAGTTTAGGGTTTAGGGTTTATAGAGTTTAGGGTTTAGGGTTTTTGAGTTTAGGGTTTAGGGGTTTGGGTTTAGGGGGGGATTGGAGTTCAGGATTTCGGGCTTGAGGCCTGAATCAGGAACTGCATCCCTCGGTCCCTCAGAAAATCCAGATCACCCTGCCTTCATGCATATAGTTTAAGGGAAGTGTAAATTTCGTGCGGGGTTTTCTTGCATCCTTTAACCGGCCTAGGTTTCAGCTATCAGTCATACGAAAGATATGTTGCAAAATCACATGCTTCGCCCTCGTCACAATCTCCTTATACAGGTTTTCAAAAAAGTAGGGTTTTCAGGGTCCAGGTTACTCTTGAATTGACTTCTCTCGCAAGAGCGCAGGCAGCGCCCTAAACCCTCAAGCGCAGGCGAAGCATTGGAAGCCGCCAGATCCCGGAATGTTCAACGTGGACGCAGCGAACTATGCGCTGAGCCATCAAGCCGATTGGTTTGATGATTTCCTCAGTCACTTAGATAGCCATTGAGAGACCCCAAAACTTGTTGCCCTCTATTTATTTGGTCTATCTTGCAAAGTTTGAGATTTTTGGGCCGGGTGATCGAAGAGAGGTCACGACTGGCGAACCTCCCGATTTTCGAAGCTTTGCGCCCTTCTCGTCGTCTATAACTCGCGAGCAGCGCTTTTGTCAGCTTTCCTGGCTTGCCCTCTGATCGCTTTAGGCCGGACGGTGGGAGTGCTGCCGAACGATCGGCCGAGCTCGTGCTTAGTTTATGTGGTGCACTTGTTTGTCTTATGCTTTTGGCAGAGACTCCGAAGCATCCTGCGTCCACCAATCATGGTCTTTCTGGACAAGCTCTGTATTGCCCAAAGTCCAGAACAAGCCGAGCTGAAGGAGAAAGGTATTATTGGATTAGCTGCCTTCCTGAACCATTCCAAACGACTTGTGGTTCTGTGGTCGCCAAGGTCTTTTGGCGAAGTTTCCAGAGGGGTCCAAACTATAACCCCCGAAACCCTAAACCCCTAAACCCCTAAACCCTAAACCCCTAAACCCCTAAACCCTAAACCCTAGGCCCGTTCACCATGGTCTCGTTCAGAAGCTTCCAGAAGGTTTCAGGCACTCGCGCTTCAGACTTGTGGGTCCTATGGGTTGCGAGTTTAGGGCTCAGGGTTTAGAGGTTTAGGGTTTTCAGTTGAGGGGTTTAGGGTTAAGGGTTTCAGGGTTACCTGTAGCCGAAAAGACCTACCTTTTTGGGGTTCCTTATTATGGTTTGTATATATTATAGTTCCTTAAGAATGTTGGTTTTGTGGGCCACAGGTATGGTGTAGGGAGGATCTGAAAAGTAGATCCCCTGATTTGGACACCGACTACTAGAGGTCTTTGTAGGGACCCCCTTTTAAGACATCTACTTTTTGGATCGTTCTATGGGTCTGGTTGGGGTGCCAACACACACAAATGAGGGAGTTTCAGGAAGTATGGCGCCCAACAGAGCTGCAGACGCCTAAGCACTAAACCTTATACCCTAAACCCTAAAGCTCTTAAGCCCTAAATCTTTGAATCATAAATCTTAGCCTTTGTGGACCTTTAAATGTGGCTTAGGGTTTAGGGTTGTTGGTTTATGGCTACCCAGTTTTGCCACAAAATTTGATTTTTTGTCGGGAGTATAAGGGTCTTATATTTCTTCCAATGTAAGGGTCTCCCCGTTGGGTCTTTGTATTCAAGATCCCACCATGTTGGGTTCTATCAAAGTGTCCTGTATTTCAGAAACTCCCAATTAAGACGCTCATGGTTATTTGCCATTACTGGTTGTAAACTATCCAGCCGCATCTTCGAAACCTTGCCATAACGCTAACCATAAGGCTCAAGACCCAGACCTAATGCCCTAACCCTAAAACAACTAAAGACCCTGCCTTTCTAAGGGTTCACATGAGGAAATCAGAATAAGGAGCCCTAACGAGGGTGGTTATATAGGGTTAAGTTTGGTCCTAATACCTGACTATCCCACCCGTGAATCTGCCAAGAAACTTTTAGTTGCAACTCATTACCAATACTGTTTGCGGGTTCCTTGTTATAGTTAGTATTTACAGCATATTATAGTATAGACCCAAAGTGGCCTAACCTAAGCTTTTCGGGCACCTGTATTCAAGTATGTTTTCGAGGCGGCGGCAGTCTTAGGCACGTAGGGTTTACCATGGTTTTCAGGGGTTTTACAGTGTGGTACTTATTCAGGCACTTTAGGAGGTTGCGAAATTGTTCATATCAAAGTTTTCGTTTTATATAATGCGGGGTTGTGAGTGTTTTGTAAATGTTTAAACGAAGGTTTCTTCTAAGACTGGGACTACCCATTGGCCGGGAACCACCTATATTAGCGACTATGTAGGGTTTTATGCTAGACTAGGGTGTCTCATTTTCTGAGAAGCCAACCAACACACATGCATACAGCCTAACCCTAAACCTTATACCTAAACCATGAACTCCCTAGCCTTAAACCCTAAACCCTAAACCCCAAAAGCTGAGGTACTTCAGCAGAGCCTGGGCTTTTGAGCATGACAGCTGGTTTTCCAATTCGCGGATTGGGTTTAGGGTCTAGGGTTTAGGTTTTGGGATCACGGTCTAGGATTAGTTAACGAATATACGTACCTTCAATCAGATTAGGGACAACATAACCCTAAACCCTAGACCCTAAACCCTAGACCCTGAACCCTGAACCCTAAACCCTGCCCTAAGTGTACACTCCTCAACCAAGGGATGTAGACAGGGGTGTATTCATCAGTGGTCTGCATTGTCTGTGGATCGGAAATGCATGGCAAAAGTTTCTGTGTGCAAGAACAGCCCAGGATTATGGTGTGCGTATGAGATTGCAGCATTCCTCACAGATCACAACAAGCACAAGCACATCTTGATGATGCCGGTTCATGCCGGCATCACCATTCTTTTGGCCTTCTTCTTTTTCAGCTGGATGGCATCCTCGATGCTCATAATTCTGGGACTGCTCCGGTATGGTGCTCTTGGCGTTCAATTGGGCCAGGACAATATATGGACGGTGGTTGGAGGGGCTGTGGCTTGGGTAACTAGGTGGAGCTTCGGGACGCTTTTTAATTCTCTTTTATGGTTCTATGGAGGTACTTAACTTAAGGGTTCATGAGACTTAGTAGCTAGGGTTATAAAACAGGTAGCTATACTTGTAATTACTGACAGCCCCGATTAAGGTAGTACTTACAACTGTACTTATTACTTGATTCCCATGAACCTCCAAGTACCCTTTCACTAATTCTTGTCGGAGCCTCAGATGTACAACCCAGGTAGTTGTTCCCGCAACTTTAGTCGGAGTGCCCTTTAGCACCTTGAGCGTGCGCATGGCCAAGCACCTGCATCGCGCACCAAAGCAGCTGAAGACGTTTGATGTCCAGAGCGCTGCATGTTTCTGTTGTGCCAATGCCCACAAGCATCCGGACACAGGATGGAAGAGGGACTGATTATTTGGGAGTCTTGGGAGTCTTTATAGGATTCCTTCCCCGAAGCCCTAGTCCAATTGTTGAGGGGTCGAAAATGCCCACTAAACCCTAAGCCCTTAGATACCTTGTTTATAACCCTAGTTACTAAGCCCCTTGAACCTTTAAGTAGGGCTAGGGTTGTATTCGTGTGAAGGTTTCACTTGGACAGTCAGAGGTTTACGGTTTAGGGTTTGGTGTTGACGGTCT